AATTCGTAAATACTGTTTTCAAGCATTTTGAGAAAATATTGGGAGTACCAAAGGAGCACCCAACACTTTGGAAGGACCATCTGAGTGTTTGGCATTAGTACTTGATTTGAGGTGGGTATTGTCAGGGAGGTGGGAGTTTGGGCCAGCCACAGAGTGGCTGCAGGGATAGGAATGAGCCCTCCTACTGACTCTGAGGTCCCTCTCCCCTGCCTTCCTTGGGCCTTCCCTTTTCTCTAAATACATAAGGGACAAACGCTTAGAGAAAGTGGTGGCCTGTGTAGGGGCTGGAGCCTGCAGGTGTCCACAGCCCTCCATGCAAGGCCTTGCTCAGAGCCTCACGGGTTGTACAGAGGCAGGGCATTTGTGGGTCAAGTGAAGCAATCCCCGTTGAGTGCTCAGGTGGGTCCAGGCTCTCCAGACACCATCTAGGTATTTGGCAACAATAGGAACCTTCCCAGCCCCACAGAATGCAAATTTTATCAGGCTGTGTTATTCACGCCCAGATTCCCAGAAGAGATGCTGGGCACAGGTGGGAACACAATGAATACTTGCCACAAGAATGAGTCAAACTGTAGCCTCTGAGGAGGTTGGAGACAAAAGGAGGAATCTGGAAAAATCACACTGTGAAAACCAATTCTCAGCTCCTAAATTACCCTCCAAATCCTATTGATTCTGCTGTCCCCAACTCTAGGAGAGGGACTCCCCTGAATCACCACTGTCTCTGCTTCCCCCAGGATTTTATTGCTCTCACCTGGAAAATTGCAACGTGCTCACTTCCCACATCCTTCCCCTTGAAAACAAGAGAGACTTCCTACAAACTAATCACATTGGATCCCTCCCTTGACAAAAACCTTCCCATTTCCTCCAGGCTAAGAGCAAATCCTATGGCCAGTGAGCCCAAGCAAAAATGCTCAGAATCCTTACTCACCAGGGAAGCAAATCAAGATCACAGCAAGATACGTGGGCACATCCACTAGGAGAGCTGGAATCAGAATGACAGAGTGACCGAGTGCTGATGGGAATGTGGAGAAATCCAAGCCCCTGGTCTGCCAGGGAGATTCTAAATGGGACAGCTGCTGTGGAAGATTCTGGTGGTTCTCAAAAAGTCAAACACAGAACTACCATGTGACTACACAATTCCACTCCTAGGCACACACTCAAGAGAATGGAGAACATGGGTCCACATCAGACCTTGGGCACAAAAAATGTCTTTTGGGCATGAATGTCCGTAGCAGCATTGGTCACAATAGCCCCAAACTGGAAACAACCCAAATGTCCATCAAATGATGGATATAAATTGCGGTTGTTTTAGTCCATTTGTGCTACTATAACAAATATCACGGACTTAGTAATTTATGAACAATAGGGTTTTTTTTTTCTCATAGTTCTGGAGGCTGGGAAGTCCAAGAACAAGGTGCTGGCAGGTTCAGTGTCTGGTGAGGGCTGCTTGCTGCCTCCAAGATGGTGCCCTCTTGCTGCCTACTCCGGGGGAGACAAATACTAGCAGAGGGAAGGCAAGAGCCGTAATCATCAGAGCCATAATCCCATCAATGGGTGCTAGCCCATCTCCTAAAGCCCCACTTCCTCATACAGTTGCCTTGGGGTTCAGTTCCAACATGAATTTTTGGAAAGACACAAACATTTAAAGCAGAGCAGTGGTCTATTCACATAATGGGATAGTGTCCAGCCATAAAAAGAAATAAAGTATGTGCTTTGTGCTACAACATGAATGAACCTCGGAAACATCATCATAAGTGAAAGAAGCCACACTCAAAGACCACATATGATTGCATTTCAAATTGAGAGAGAGAGAGAGAGAGAGAGAGAGAGAGAGAGAGAGAGAAATTACATTACTGGGTAATAGAGAGTGCTCATGGGGTGATGAAAATATTCTGGAATTAGATAGTGTTTACTTGAGTTCTTGTGTCCAGAGTTGTAGAAAGGGAGAGTGGGCCTGGAAAGAATAGGGGTGCAGGCAAAGCTTTATGAAGGACTTCTGCTTGGCCAGAGGGAGCCAGCACCTGGGGACAAAGACCGCAGGTTGGCTTGTTGTAAGGACAGACAAGGCAAGGCACTGAAGATAGCAGGAAAAGTTTTATTTGGCTGCAGCCAGGTTCAGAGGGCACAGCTTTTGCTGTAATCCAAGGAGTTTCAGAGTTTTATACCCAGCATGTAAGGGGAGGGGCTCAGAAGTCCACAGTCTGCAGAAGTTCACATAAAAGCAGCTTTTTCTTTCACTGTTCTGGGCAAGTTAACCCTTCAAGGACAGCGCCTGAGAAGGGGAGAGCTTCTTCTCCCCTCTCTTTCCTCCCCCTGCCAGCTGTTACCATGGAGCCCAATTGGTAACTTCTCTTAGCTTAGAAATGTAGACATCTCTGTGGAGCCCAGCTCAAGGCCAGAGGCCTTGTTTGCACATTTCTACAAACTACTATACTGGATACATGTTTGTGAAAAACTAGGGGGTGTCCAGCACCTGGAGTGCTGGTATCTTCCCGGCCAGTGGCCAAGTAAAACAGGGCAACACAAAAATAGGAAGTTTATCTACATTGAACACTTTTGTAGAGTCTCTTTTGCTGACAGTCCTAAAATCAGCCATGGGGAAGATTTCTGGAGAAGCCCAGTCAAGACTTTTCTGTGGAGGAAGAGGGTGCCACTATGGGCTCAGGTGAAGGATAAGGGGAACAGCTTTTCTGGACCTGCAGGGTAGGCAGGAGCTTGGTCTCTTGACATGGTCAGATGTGGAGTGGACTCCAGTCATGCCACGTGCTTCAGCCTGTGACATGTGTCTCATCACTGTCTTAGGTGGGGGCTGTGGGTTTTACTATGTTAACAAGGTGAACCTAACTGTGGGTTACTTTGGTGGCCATTCTAGGCCTGAATTTGCCCCTCGCCGCCTGGAGTTGCCCTTATCATCTGGAACGTCTCTGATATTATTTTCAGAATTGCAGACCCCATGGCCTGGCTGGAGCTGGCATTTCTACTGACCACAGTCTCCGGAGGCTGAGCTGACCCCCAGCCTCCATCCTGGCGTGTTGCCTCACTCTCACAGCCTGGAAGACGGGGCACTTTTGCTCCTGATCTCCTTGTGCTGCTGTTCACTCCACAAGACCCAGAGGTGGCCTGTTTCTCAAGGGGGCCCCTAACTGCCAGTGGCACATCTTATGAAAATTCTGACACACCACTGAATCATACTCTTAAAAGCTGAATTATATGTGATAAGAAATTATGCATCAACTGTAAAAATTGGGAATGGTCCACTCGGCTAGTGGAGCAGCCAGAGGCCCCCTTCCTCTCCCTGCCCTCTCTTTTCTCTAAGCCATGGCCCACCTGCTGTTGTCACACTCACCTTGCAGAGCGCCCCCTCCCCTCGCCTTAGTGCAGCCCTGCTCCTGCCCAGCAGTCACCTCTGCCCTCTCGGATCTGCTCACCTTCCCTGCCCTCTCCCGGCTCCTCCGCCAAGCTCGCCCCTGTGCAGCTCCCTGGTGAATGTCCTCAGCTAACCTCCCAGATTGCCAGCTCACGTAGAGAAAGTTTGGGCCCTGGGGATATTTCTAATATAAACATTTTCATCAGATTATACCAACACTGTTGAATTTTCATCAGGGACGTGCTTGCCAGAGCGAACGGCTTGTCGCTGGAATAAGCCCTTGATCAGTTTTCTAAGAGAGCACAGCTGAGCTGCCCCTGCCTCCTGCATGTTTTCTAAACTTTTAATCATATTCGATCCTTTCCTGTCTGTACTTTATAATGGTTATAACCGGTCCTGTTTTCTTGGATCAGAGCCTGCAGGTCAAGTCTTGTCACGAAGACTCAGTCCCTGCAGCCCTGTCGGGCAGTAGGCCTTTCTTTTCTGGTGTAGCTTGGGTGCCTTTGAGTTTTATATCATCACATTGTCTAAATAATAACGTTCACTATGACTTGGATAATAGACTGGTAGACACTTATTTATCAAAAAATTAAATTTTAAGTAAATAATACACGTACAGGGTGGAAAAAGGTATAAAGAGGAAAGCCTGTGGTGCCCCTCCTGCTGACCCCCTCTCTCATGTCTGCCCCCAGCGGCCATGTCGTGGACAGGGCTCCCCAGGAGGCTGATGGCTCTGCGTGGGATTCTGTCAGGAGGTCTATCAGGAAGGGCCCTGGGCAGAGGGAGAAGCTGGGCTGAGACACAATCTCCGGGAAAGCTCAGCTGACCCCAAGGGGCTCAGCAACTTTGCTGTCCCCAGTTGGGACAGGGTCCACCTGGCCCTTCTGTTTTGGGTCTGTTGGTGACCGCACACAGCCCTTCCTGGAGATGACTTTTGGAGTAGCTTCTTTGTGTTGAGGGCAACAGCCCAGCTGGGAATTAGTGCCCCTGAAGGAGACACCAATGTCACCAAGTTATCTCCTAACACCCCCCCCCTACCCTTTTTAGCTGAATACTTATTATTATTGTGGTTGTCATACCTCTGGGGGCTCCTCCAAGCCAGTTAGCAGTCAGGACCCCCTTTCTCTGGCATGCCCCCCATGGCTCTGCCTGCCTGGGGGCGGGGCCCACACTGGGGGTGGGATGGTGGGTGTGCTGGGCCTTAGCCCCAGGCAGCTGAGGAGCAGAGCCTGAGAATTCAGGCTTTTTCTTCTTTCTTTTTTCTGAAGCAACTTTCTAGGGCTCTGGAGTTATAAAAAACTCCCAGGTGTCATTTCCCGGCAGTTGGACAGCCGTAGAATGCCACTCTGCGAGTGCCAACTGCCCCTACCCCATCCAAGGTTTTACATCTGATTAATGTGTTGGTTCTGACAAACGCTGCTGAAGGTCATCATAAATAATAAATAGTTTTGTAAGGCGATTGCTTAATTAAAAAAAATTTTTAAACCTTTATTTTATTTATTTTTATGTGGTGCTGAGGATGGAACCCAGTGCCTCACACATATGAGAAGAGTACTCTACCGCTGAGCCAAACCCCAGCCCCATTTTACAGCAAACACCTAATACAAAGTACACTTTCCAAATGTTCCCCACGATGTCTCTGGAGGGCGCGCGGCCAGCTCCAGAGAGGTAAGTGCAGAAGTGCAGAAGGAACCCCCTGGGGAGAGGACGGGCCACCTGGACAGGGGTCTGCTCACCTGTAGGTTGAGCGCCCCCTGTCTTGGTGGATGGCTTTGGCCCCTGACACAGATGTGACTGCAGGAGACACATCTTCCCTTTCTGCCTGTCCTCCTAGCCCCAAGGAGACCTGCCCTGTCCTGCAGAGGGAGAGATTGTTCCAGTCGGGAGACCATGCCTACAGAATCCCCGCCCTGCTCTACCTGCCCCAGCAGAAGACACTGCTGGCCTTTGCAGAAAAGCGAATGAGCAAGAAGGACGAGCACGCCGAGCTGATCGCCTTGCGCAGAGGAGACTATGACGCGTCTGCCCACCAGGTTCAGGTAAGGCAGCCGTGGCTACAGACACTCCCCTGGGATTGCTCCCCACACACCCCTTTGCTGGTGAGTACAGAGGGACCCAGGCCTGGATCTCATACAACGAGGGTCATTCCATCCTTCCATGGCTAAGGGAAGGGCACAGAGAGAGCAGACACCTTGAAGCCCAGGAGGGAGCAAGGAAACCGTTCAGTGGTGGGGCGCCCCAGGCAATCCCAGTGGTCACACTCGCCTGGGTTCACCAAGACACCAGGTCCTGCTGGCCTGGCCGTCTGCTTTAGTGCATGAGTTTCCCAACACCCTTGAGACCCCAGGGAGGAGCAGTTCATTACCATGAAACTGGCATCTTTGAGTGCAATTAACTTGAGGAGCTAGGTGTGGGGTGATTGCTGCGTCCTAAAGTTCCAAATTGTAATCTTGATAAAGACACCCAAGGCTGGCTTATTATATTTGAAGGGTTTAATATTATTATAATTACTTTGTGGTCATTACTACATAGTAGCTATTCAAAGCATGATTTTTTTTTTAATTTTGATTTTGATTGATACATAATGATTGTACATGTTCATGGGACTCAAAGCAGACAGACCTGGGTTCAAGTCCTGGTTCCATTTCTTACCAGAGGGATGGGCTTGGGCAACTCGGCCTTATATGAGCCTCTCATTCTCCAGGTGTGAGATGGAGCTACTAACACTTGTCCCCCAGGATTAGGAGATAGATGAGGCAGTGCATATTAGACCTTTGGCACAGCATCTGAGATTAGAATCCCTTATTGGGGGTTACTGCTAATGAGTGGGGATGAACGGCAAAGCTGGGGCATGTACGGCAGACTTGGGCATCCAGGAAGGTCAGTGTTTAGTCCTCAGTATCTTGAGGCAATGCCCTCTTAGGATGCATTAATAGAGTATCATGCATAGAAGATAGGGGGAGGGCAACAGGTTCTATCTGGCACTGGTCCGATTATTGAGGCCCCCACTAAGTCTGACGTTCAAGCTAGACTGGGCTGGTAAATAGGAGCAACCGGGGAGAAGGCATCACGGCTGCTCCGGAGTCATCTTTGTATCTTGGCGTCTGGCACATCCTGCGTACTCTGTATGCTGATGGGAATGGAAGTGACAGAGCTGCTCAGTGAAAAGTGGGCACCAGGAGGGATCGGGGAGCCCCAGCCCACAGTGCTCTGAGGAGGGTCTCAACAGTGGTCCTGTCCCCATGAGACACACCGCCCCACCCACCCCTGAGAGTGTGGCTCCTGATTCGGTCACCTGCTTCAGTACTGTGCTTCCCTTTCCTCCCCTCCCCCCACGTCCAGTGGCACGCTCAGGAGGTGGTGACCCAAGCCCAGCTGGAGGGCCACCGGTCCATGAACCCGTGCCCGCTATACGACGAGCAGACCGGGACCCTCTTCCTCTTCTTCATCGCCATCCCAGGGCAGGTCTCCGAGCGCCACCAGCTGCAGACCGGGGTCAACATGGTGCGGCTGTGCCATGTCACCAGTGCTGACCATGGCAGGACCTGGAGCCCTGCCAGTGACATCACCAGCTCGGCCATCGGCCCCGCCCACAAGGAATGGGCCACCTTTGCAGTGGGCCCGGGGCACTGTCTGCAGCTGCACAACCAGATGCAGAGCCTGGTGGTGCCCGCTTATGCCTACCGGAAGCTTCCCCACCACCACTCGCCCTCCCCAGCCTCCTTCTGCTTCCTCAGCCACGACCACGGCCGCACGTGGCAGAGAGGGGACTTCGTGGCCCAGGACTCTGTGGAGTGCCAGGTGGCGGAGGTGAGGTCCCGGGGGCAGAGCGTGGTGTACCTCAACGCCAGGAGCTCCCTCGGGGCCCGGGTGCAGGCCCAGAGCACCAACGCGGGGCTGGACTTCCAGGGGGCCCTGGTGACCCAAAAGCTGCCCGAGCTGCCCCACGGCTGCCACGGGAGCACGGTGGCCTTCCCCAGCCCCAGCTCCCCAGACCAGTGGCTGCTCTACGTTCACCCCACTGACCCCCGGAAGAGGCGCAACCTGGGCGTGTACCTCAACACCAGGCCCCCGGAGCCTGCCGCCTGGTCGCAGCCCACCCTGCTGGCCACAGGCAGCTGCGCCTACTCCGACCTGCAGAGCATGGGGCGCGGCCCCGACGGCTCGGCCCAGTTTGGGTGTCTATATGAGGCGGGTGACTACGAGGAAGTTGTTTTCCTCCTGTTCACCCTGAAACAGGCCTTCCCAGCCCAGGTCCAAGCCCCATGAGCCAGCCACCTGCTGGCACGCTCCCTGGCCCACACTAGGTACCCACAGCAGCGCTGATTATTTCCCATTCCTTTCAGTGTCCCCGAAGGTCATCTCTGGGTCCCTTCATTAAGTGGCAGAGAGGTCTGCTTCTTGGCTGTCTTTGCCTCCTTCGCTTTCCAGTCTTCCCAGAAGGTTCTGTTTACAGCCAGAAATCAAAGGAACCTGGCTTTCCCCAGCCCCTTGGCAGCAAGGCAAGACAGGCTGCACGGTGGCTGTCACTCTGCACGGTGGCTGCCAAGCGGCAGAGCTCAGCCTGCCTGCCTCCCCCCCACCCCGTTATTGTGATGTGCTTGATAAATGACCTACTCCAGCCCCCTTCTTCTTGGGGATGCTCATGGTGTTCCTGGGGAAAGGCTAACCCGAGGATGTGGATTAGCAGAGGTGTGTGTGTGTGTGCGTGTGCGTGTGCGTGTGCGTGTGCGTGTGTGTGTGTTTTCTTGTTGATGCTTCAGAGCAGACAGACTGGGAAACAGCTTTGCAGAAAGGTTAGGCAGGGTCGAGAATAATTAAGCTCACTTAAGTCACTGTGTTCCTTTCTTAGGGCTGCCACAACAAATTATCTCCAACGTGGTGGCATAAAACAACAGAAATGTGTCCTCACCGCACCTCAGGCGAGAAGCCTGAAATCAAGCTGTTTTCAGGGCCACACTCTCTCCAGAGACTGTCCCTTCCAGCTTCTGGTAGATCCTGGTAACTCTTGGTATCCCTCAGCTCGGGGCTGTATGGCTCCCATCTTGGCCCTGGTCTTCACATGACCTTCTCTTGCATGTTCTCCCTAGTCACTCATGAAGACGTTTGTCACTGGATAAACCGGGATCAGCTCACCTCCAAGATCCTTGATGACATCTGCAGAGACACTTTTCCCCAGTCAGGTCACGGTCACAGATGCTGGGGGTAGGAGGCGGATGTAAGTTTTGGGGGCCACCACTCAACCCACTATGGTCATAAGCACTTGGTTTTGCACAGAGGACGTGGCTGAAGGCAGGACTGAGGTTCAGATGGATCAGATAGTTTGGAAGAATTGGGGTGGGGCGGGGGCTGTTAGCTGTGATCCCTGGGGCAGGGCTGCTGTAGGACCCTCACTTTTCAAGGTGACCGGAGGGCCATGTGACACTGAAGAGACAGCAAGGGTGCTGGGCTTGTGGTTCTTGCCATAAAGCAAGAGTAGGGAGAAAGCTGCCCCTGCTTGTCTCAGGAGCGGCCACCTGAGAGGGAGCCAGCCTGGGTACAGGAGCGACACTTCTCTGACCCCCGGGAATTTCTAAGGACTGAGTCCTATGTCTTGGGAAAACTTGTCCCCTGCTCCTGCCAGAGCCCCTCTAGTGGGTGCAGTGACAACAGTCATAGGTTCTTGCAGCTGAGTGGCATCTTTGCCTGGCCCATTGTGGGGGTTGGTCCTAGGCACTGGCCACGTGTCAGGATGCTGCTTCTCCTGGTGGGGTTCTGAGAAAGCCGGCTGGAAGGATGAGGAATTGGGGCCCGGAATGGGAGGTTAGGCCCCTCCGTTCTGGGGATGGCCACCCAGTGTCTTCCAAACCATTCAGAAGAGGCTGGGGTGGAGGCTGAGGCTGAGCCTGGGGGCTTGAGCACTTGAATGGCACCTAGGTCGGCAGACCTCGAGAGGCTAAGGTGGGCAACCCTATAGTGTATTATCCAGCAGGGACGCTTGTGAGAGTCCAGTTACGCTTGTTAACAGGCACTAACCAGGACTGTCCCTGGTAAGCGGGGGGGTTCAAGTTGAAGACCCCCCCTCCCCGAGGACTGTGCCAGAGGCGGCACCATTTGCTTCCCTGGCAAAGCTCCTCATCTGTTTAGGCAGATGAGGCAGGAACGGGAGGGGTGCCTGGCCACTGTCAGGCCCACTGTCCCTCTCCTGAACTCCAGGCTCTCTCTGGGTCAGCGGCTCCCTGCTCCAGGCTGGTTAGCATCCCCTTGGAGCTTTTCAGCAGTGCTGCTTCCCGTGCCCCACCCGGAGCAACCAGTTCAGAATCTCTGTAGTGTCCCAGGCAGGTGAAGGTCCCTAAGTTATTCTAAAGAACAGAAGGATCAAAACCTACGTGGGCTGGGGATGTGGTTCAAGCGGTAGCGCGCTCGCCTGGCATGCGTGCGGCCCGGGTTCGATCCTCAGCACCACATACAAACAAAGATGTTGTGTCCGCCAAAAACCTAAAAATTAAATATTAAAATATTCCTCTCTCTCTCTCTCTTAAAAAAAAAAAAAAAAAACTTACGGGCACTGGAGATCTCTAGAGTTCCTTCTGGTTCTGAGTATATACGAATGGCAAATTCTTCTTAGCCAAATTAAAAAGAAAAAAAAAAAAGCAATGACTGATTTGATTAAAGCTGAATTGATCAGCCTCCCAAAAAACTCCATTAAGAGTGTGCAAAGAGTGCATCCAACCTGGAAAGCAGTGTAGAGATTCCTCAGAAAACTGGGAACGGAACCACCATTTGACCCAGCTCTCCCACTCCTCGGTCTATACCCAAAGGACTTAAAAATCAGCATACTACAGGGACACAGCCACATCAATGTTTACAGTAACACAATTCACAATAGCTAAACTTGGAAGCAACCTAGATACCAGTCAACAGATGAATGGATAAAGAAACTGTGGTACATATACACACAATGGAATATTACTCAGCAATAAAACAGAATAAAATTATGGCATTTTCAGGTAAATGGATGGAGCTGGAGAATATCATGCTAAGCAAAGTAAGCCAATCCCCAAAACACAAAGGCTGAATGTTTTCTTTGATAAGAGGATGCTGATCCATAATGGGGGTGGGCATTCTACAGCAGCATTCTGCTGTTACGTATAACTGACTAGAACAAATAAAAAAATTTTAAACTAAAAAAATTTTTAAAACATTACAAAGAGCTGGGCGTGGTAGGACACCACTGTAATCCCAGTGACTCAGGAGACTGAGGCAGGAAGACCACAAGTTGGAGGCCAGCCTCAGCAACTTAGCAAGGCCCTCAGCAATTTAGTGAGACCCTGTCTCAAAATAAAAAATGAAAAGGGCTGGAGTAGTGCTGGGGATACAGCTTAGTTGGTAGAGAGCTTGTCTTGCATGCACAAGGCCCTGGGTTCAATCCCCAGCACCACAAAAAAGAAACAAGGCTGGAGTAAAGCTACTATTTTATTAGGTATTATTATTAGAAAGCCATTATTTGTATCACACATATCTGACAAAGGGCTTGTATCCAGAGTATATAAAGAGACCCCACAAATCAATAAGAAAACCAATCCAATAGCAATGGGCAAAAGATGTGAATAGGCACCACACAAAAGAAGATCTTCTAAAGGCTGCTAAACATGCGGGAATGTGCTCAACACTCTTAGTCATCAGGGAGATGCAGACCCAAACCATGAGACGCTTATCCCCTGGGATGATAGAATTTAAAGGAGTGGCAATAGTGAGTATGGGCAAGGATATGGTGCCATTGGAACCCCACACATTTCCAGAGTAAGATTTGCTGGTACAATCACTTTGGACAGCTATATTTGGTAGGATTCCCCTATGACATGGCAATTCCACTCTGAAGCACGTATCTAGGAGAAATGAGTGCATACAGCTGCCAAAGACATGGAGATGTGGCTCTGTAGCCGCCTCGTTTATAAGGAAACATTCACCCTGGAAACAACCCAAATGTCAGTGAAAAATAGGATGGCAACGTAGCTTAAGAGGTGTTTGTACAATTGGAATATTATACAATCAAGAACGAACTACTGCTACACTCAATTGCATGAATGATTATAAGTCATCATGTTGAGAGAAAGAAGCTGGCATAGCACACATTTCACAACAGAGTATGTACTTAGCCAAGTATGGTGCGCATGCCTGTAATCCCAGCATCTTGGGAGGCTGAGGAAGGAGGATTGCAAGTTCAAAGCCAGCCTCAGCAACTTAGCAAGGCCCTAAGCAACTTGGCGAGACCCTGTCTCTAAATAAAATATAAAAAAGGGCTGGAGATGTGGCTCAGTGGTTAAGTGCCCCTGGGTTCAATTTCCAGTACGAAAAAAAAAAAAAAAAGAGTATATACTTTATGAAAGAGTACATACTAGATTTTCTATTTATATGAAGTTCAAAAACAGGTAAAACTATGGTACGTAAATCAGGATAGTGGCCCCTTCTGGTGGGAGGAGCCATTGACTGGGAGAGTGCGAGGGGGAGACTTTCAGGTTCGGGAAAAGTCCTTTTGTTGGATCTGGGGCTGGTTATGGGGGCAACTCCAAACACAAAATCCCATGAGCTGTACACTTGAGATCCATGTACCCCACTTACTGTATGCATGTTATGCCTCATTAGAAAATAAAAGTTGGACTGAATCTTTTACTTACTAGTTTAGGTTCGACAGCAATGTATCAGGTTTTAAAACTTTGGAATGGAATTTTTGAATAAACTTTTTATTTTGGAAGACTTTTAGATTTTATAGAAAAGTTGCAAATCCAGAACAGAGTGTTCTCAAGATACCCAGTTTCCCCTGTGTTAGCATCTTACATAACTGTGGCACATTTGTCAAAACGGAGAGGTTAATGTTGATATGTGACTAGTGACTAAACTTTAGTCTATTCAGACTTCACCAGGTTTTCAGGTTGATGCACAGGTCCAACAGGCCTTCCCTCCCCTACCTTTCCCACTTTCTAGGCTAATAAATGAATAAGCAAACGCAAAAACTGTGCTTCAAGCATGCATTGCTGGTGTGCAAATGTCAGAGGTAATTCTGGAGCTCAAGACGGTACCCCGCCAAATCAATTACCCCAGAGCTCCAGGCTTTTAACATGTTGTGGGGTGGGATGCAGGACTGGCCAATTTTGAGTCCAGCCACTTCTTGGGACATGCATGAGCCAGCATGGGTCAGACCCCAGCTGGAGACTAGGGAACCAGCCCTGGTCAACATCCCAGCTGGTGGATGGTCAAGTAGAACAGAACACAGCAGGGTTCAGGGAAGC